GGAGGAAACTGCAGTGGGCCTATTGACCCATACTGGGCAGTCCCGTTTATACCCAACCCCTATTGCTCATATAAGCATCCAACCTATGTTTGCAGCTATCCAGAGTATTCGAGTTAATGATGATATTTGGTAACTTGTTCCATTCATCCACTACTCTGTTTCCAAACCAGTGTTTACCATTTCACGCCGAAATCTAAATTTGTCTAATTTAAAACCATTGTTACGAGTTCGCTCCTGGTTGGATAGTTTGAGTACCTTTGTAATGTCCCCTTTGTTTAACCCTGACTTCCATTTATACACCTCTATCATATCGCCCCTCACTCTACGTCTCTCGAGGGAGTGCAAATTAAGATGCTTTAACCTGTCTCTGTACTCAAGGTTCCTAATGCCCGGGATTAGTCTTGTCATTCTCCTCTAGATTCTTTCCAAGGATTCTATGTCCATTCTGTAATACGGTGACCAGAACTGAACTGCGTAATCCAGGTGAGGTCTCACAAGCACTATATATAATTTTAAGATGACCTCGCTAGTCTTGTAACTAACACTCCTTTGTATGAACCCAAGTACTTTATTAGCCTTGTTACGAGCAAAAACACATTGTTTACTTGGCTTAAGATTCCTACTTATCATTACTCCTAAATCACTCTCGCAGTCGGATTCCACAATAGCATCGTTGTTCATGTGGTAACTGGTTTCCCTGTTTACATCTCCTATACTACGAAGATTTATTACACATAATTTTTAGTAAAATAGAATTAAGAATAAAAAGTGAGTTATCTGAACGGCAAAATGGATTTAGAAAAATAGAGGGACCAAGAGAAGCTGTATTTGGTTTAAGAATTTTGAGTGAAAGGGTTTTAGAGGTCCAAAGAAATTTGTACATCTACTTTGTTGACTTTTAAAAAGGTTTTTGATTAGGTTAAGTACAATAAACTTATAGAGGTCTTGGAAAAAATAGTAATTTTTGAGGGAGGTAAATATAATTTTACAGAATTTTTACTGCTAACATGAGACTGCAGTGTTATTAAATAATGAACTTATTAATTAGTTCACCGTTAGACCGGGAGTAAGACAAGGCTGTGTTCTATCTCCAACAATGTATAATATATATTTACAATTCTTAATGAGTGAAATTATAAGTGATAATGAAGGACTAAAAGTTAATGCTAAATTAATATCCAATAAACTCAATACAGATGATACAGCTCTCATCACAGAAAGTGAAGAGGCATTACAAAAACTTTTTAACTTATTAGTGGAAACAGTTGAAACAGTTTAAAATGAAAATTATGGTCGGCAACAAGGAACTTAAACAAGTGAAAAATTTTGTGTACTTAGGAATTAACATGAGCTGTGTTGGTAAATGTACGGAAGATATCAAAACAAGAAAGAATAGAGCAAGCAAAAACAGCGTTGAATAATGTAAAAGACCCAATGAAAAGAAAAAATTAACTTAAACTTGAGAAAAAGGCTGCTGAAAGGCTTTATATGGCAACGACTGATGTATGGGTCAGAAGCGTGGACACTTTCAGCAGACACCAGAAAGAGGTTGTGGAGGAGGCCTTTGACATGTGATGTTATAGGTGAATGTTAATAATAAACTACACTGGCAGGAAAACAAAGGAAGAAGTACTAACATGAGCAAAAACTTCAAGAGAAATACTTAAAATGTACAGAAAAGAAAGATGAGATACTTTGGTCTTATAATTAGGTGATGAAGGGATAATAACAGAGATATTAATGGGCAAAGTTAATAGTAGGATGGCCAGGGGAAGGCTGAGATTTGGATGAATGATTGACATTAAAAACTGGTTCCCCAGAGATATAAAACCAAACTTGGAGGACGTTTAGGTTGGAGGACTGTGGTCGCTAACATTCATTAAATAAATGAATGTGCTAAGTATTTGAGTCTTTTGGCTTGAGGATAAATAATAGACATTTGAGACTGCAAAACGTTTTAATGGAATCAATGATATATATTGCATTATTGACTTAAATCAAACTTTGTTAGGTAACATGTAGGCACAAAACATTATGGCGAGTCGCTCCACAGTGGTACTCAGACACACAATGACTAAATATTGAATTACAATTTTTGTATTTATACTTTTTGCACTACTGTCATTCTCTTTGGTCTAGTTCTGACCTGAAGACTGAGTCTTTCCCATTATTTTTTTGTTTGATACTCCGTAGTTTCTAATATTATTGATCTAGATCTGTGGCACATATGGTGTGAACCCTGGGAACTCTATTTATGGGGACCAAATTCCTGTATTTGTCTATAAACTGGTTATTAAGATATTCGAATGTAGATCGAAGTTTATGAATCTTTGCCAAGAGCGTTAGATAATCCATGTATGAAGATGGGTAATAATGTTCTACCATTTCCATGAGATCTCGGTAGTAGGGAACTTTGTCTGGCTTATGATAACACTGGAGGGAAGTGTAATCCAGTGAAGTTGTCGAGGACTGATGCATCACTTCAGGAATGTTGGCTAAATCAAGATCCCTGTGTGTTACAAGGGGTTTGTGTCCGCGAGGTTTGGTGTTGACATTGCCTTCTTGCTGCCAGCGGTGGACCCACCTGTACACGGTGGTCACGCTGGCACCTGTCTCTCGGGCTATGGCGCGGAGTGACATACCTTCCACCCACATCCACACAAATTTGACGCGATCTTCTACGGCTGTTGGCTTCACTGGTCGCCGCCACTCCATGCTCGTCCTGTGTAAATATTGAACAATATTTTCACTTCTCTGGATCATGAATTGTTGATGGTGGTTTATTATATTAATATAAAGACAGCTACACGAGAGGGCCAACTCTCTCAGTCAATCCCTCTTATAATACGTGGACTAGAGAACGTGTGACCGTAGTTCTTCTTCTCGATGCTAAAATTTACATTTTGGTGCCCAGAATTAACAGTAAGGCGGAATTTATAATGTAAGTTAAGTTAAGTTTTCCTGTTTCCTTCAATAGTTTAATGATTTAATGAATTTCGTGTCAGACAACAAAAAATAAGTTGATGTGTGCTCACACGAACAAATAACTAGAAGCCATCTTAATACGACACACTATATATATATATATATATATATATATATATATATATATATATATATATATATATATATATATATATATATATGCTGATAACCACGAAAGAAGAAAACACGAAGTTCCCAAGGGCTTTCGTGTAATTCACATCTTCAGGGGTGGGTACAGACTAAGGAGAAGTCTGTGGTTATCAGCATATACCTAGATCAGGCGCACCTACAGTGATTTACTTGCATATCTATATATATATATATATATATATATATATATATATATATATATATATATATATATATATATATATATATATATATATATATATATATATATATATATATATATATATATATATATATATATGCATTAGGGGCAGAAAAGAATCAATTTAAATTTCTGATATATAAATTGTGATTTCCTATGAAATCTTTCTGCAAGTTTTCATAAAAAATCTTAAGACGAATTTCAAAAAATGAGATATAAAATCATCATATAATTCGAAGAGAAGAGAAGCGCGTTTGGGATTTCTACTTTTTTCAGGATTTATTAGTTATGGTAAGAGTAATATTTATAGGTTTATATGAGGGGCACAGTGGTGTTCACGTGTTGGTTTTTACATTATTATCTAAACCTTTTACAAACGTTGCTAACACTGTGAGAAAAAATTAATTAATCTCGCTTAGTACTTTAATCCCCAGTAAGCCTGTAAGGTGGGAGAATCGTTTTCGAGAACCAACCGGTCTTCTCCCAGATGCTATCCATCCTATCTTTATCCATTCTTTGCACATGTCCAAGCCACCTCTAATGCGTCTACTCAAATCGGTCCCACCAAGAAACTCCCTCCGCAGATCATATATACTGTACTTTGGTTTCTGCTCGTCTTTCCCAAAATGATTTTTATTGCTCTCTTCTCAATAGAAAGTTTTCTACGTCTGCCCTTTGTCATCAACACCACGTCTCACAGAGGGGTTGCTAAAGCTAGTTGCTTTAATCGATATCCACTGTTTACTGTATATCCCCTTTGACAACGGCAATGATCTACAGTAATTAAAGACATTCACCTGAAGTGTTATGTAGCCATCATGGGCTATATACGGCTCAACACCCCTGTCTTTTCCTCATTTAAAACTAATCCCCCCCGCCTGTCCATTATATTTTTGAGGTCATCAACATTGTATTCTATGTGGCATGTATACTCGTATTATCTGCATATGCTAATGTCTTGAACTGTGCCTCTTCCTCCATATTCTCCTCCACAAATATCTTGTCCAGGTACACGATCATTATAAAAAATGGGGAACGAATTCTCCCTTGCTTCACACCTGTACAAATATCAAACCAGACATCATTTTCAAATTCCGTATTTAACTTGCTTAGACAAATTTGTCGGTGCATTCAATTACACTAGGAAGCTGTCTATTGACCACATACTCATCCAGACATCTGCAGTCTTGTCTTTACCACTAAGTCGAACGTTTTCCTCGGGTCGATAAAATCAACAAACAGATCCTTACCGCACCCCGAAGCTATTTCCAAGAACCTGCATCTGAGTGAAGATTATATCAGTGCTACTCCGATTACCTCTGAAGTCATACTGCCACTCCCTAAACAGCGATTCTACCATTTGTCTCATCCTAGTTTAAAATATTACTGGCACAATTTACATATATGAGACATAAATGCGAAACCGCGAAACATTTTGCATCTGATGAGGTCTGTCTTTTGATTGGACCTTACCCCGTGTTTTCTCTCCCTTAACTTGTCTATTTACTTATATAAATTTAAATAAAAATAAAGTGTAAATGTACTATTACGGAAATGGTCGACTTTGCAACAATTATTTTAATCGAATTGAAGGAATATGTAAATAATTGTGAAAACTATAAAATTGAATACATAAGATTTACCAACCTCAAGCACTTGTTTTAACTAAAAACAGGAGTCTTACATTACAAATGACGAATACTTTCGATGACTTAGAAAACCTTGTTGACGCAGCGAAGGATAGGAGAGGTATGTCAACAGACGGTGTGACACGATGCTTTTACAGACTTACATTTCTCATAGTTAAATCTCATTGGTCGACTTGCTCTACCCTAGGCCCAGGATTGGACGATGAATCAGGCAAAGACGTACTTCATTGGTTGAGCCCACTAAAACGCGTTCAGAGCGCTTGAATTCTTTCCAAAGATTTTAATACGCTATCACAATGATTCATATATATATATATATATATATATATATATATATATATATATATATATATATATATATATATATGTGTGTGTATGTGTACTACACTAAATAGGGATAATTGCCAATTAGAAATAACTTCTAATAATATGTATATATATTGTTTTAAACTTTTGACCGGCCATAAACGAATATATAGATCAGTGTTCCCCACCTGTAGTTCGCGGGCACCTTTATGGACCCCGGGAGGGTTTATTAGAAAATTGTGAATTATTTGGGATTCTTTGTAAGAGTGAAAATATGTAATAACTTGATGTAGTGTACAGGATGTTCATAACCTAAATAAAGGAACACCAGGTAGACCAAGGACATAGGAGAACATTGATGGTGTGCAGCACTCTGTGGTTAGCAATCCTCAAAAAGGCACCGAAGACGTTCACTAGAACTGGAACTGCGACCTAAGTCCCAGAGGTCCTCGGTCTACCTGATGTCCCTTTATTTGGGTAATGAACAGTTCTGCTTCCCTTAAATTTGGTCACATTACGTTGAATTGATTTTGATGTTGGCGCTTTACTGACGTTAAAGTGACAAACAGTTGCCACATTGAATCTGTACCACAGATTTTGTTTCAATATACACTTCGACGACTTTCACTTTTTGTCCCATAGTCAAAACCACATTGCCGTATACTCAAAAGTGTTTCCTTCAATTATCTGCAAACAAAACAAAATATTATAATAATAATTACAGAGTAACACGTATTTAAAATTAAGTACATTGTATTGGCGCACTATGTATATATATATATATATATATATATATATATATATATATATATATATATACAGTATATATATATATATATATATATATATATATATATATATATATATATATATATATATATATATATATATATATATATATATATATATATAAAAAATATATATATATATATATATATATATATATATATATATATATATATATATATATATATATATATATATATATATATATATATATATACTAAAATTAGATTTATTTCTCATTTCTTAAAATCCTTCCATTTCTTGATATGCTTATCATGAAATGGCCAAAACTATAAATTTAAGGTATATAAAGCCCACGGTAGACGTTTCATTCACTTTTTATCGAATCACCTTGGGTCTACCAAAGTGTCAGTTTTTCTGTTATGTTCTTAAGATGTCACCGCGTATTTGTGACTCTGGTTATTGACGATGAATTGAAACACATTCGTTCTATTACACAGAAACTTGGGTACCCTTCTGTGTTTGTTGATCGTTGTTTTAAAAGGCTAAAAATCATACTGTTCTCTCAAACCCAGACAAGTTCCTACACTTAAGGAGAAATGTTTTGACTCCTGCCCTATCGTAAATAGATTTGTCCCGTGGTTCAGTCCCTCAAGCTTCTAACAAATATTAATGTTGTTTCAGTATGACTCAACCATTTAATATATTGTAGAATAGCCCAAGTTTAGATATGAAATGGAAGTGTTTATTGTATTCCATGCTTAAGCAATGTAATTGTAATTATGTAGGTCAGACAGGAAAACACTGCCGGTTAAGTCAAGCAGCACCGTATAATATCAGAACTGCATCTGAAAGCAGTGCCTTGTTCATGTTGGAATATAATCACCCCATTGTAGCGGGAAAAAAAGCTTAGAAG